ATGGGGCATTCTTGTTTAATATATAGTGTCTCGGGTTTGAAAGATGAAGAGTTCTATGGATAAATGGTGACACAGCACAATGTGAATTAATGCTATAGAACTGTCAACTTAAAATGGTTAAGACGGTATATTTTGTTATGTGTATTTGACATTAAAAAACTGAATCAAGAAAAGCCGTGTAAGCATGTTATTTTAAACATGGAGGCAAATAACAGAAGTTACCAGGAATGGGAATGCAGGGTGAGTGAGTAGTAGGACAGAAGGAGCACAGGATTTTTTGTTACATATCTTGTAGAACTCTGAATTTTAAGCTATGCACATGTATACGGGGGTGGGGGAGGATATATGCAGATGAAAATGTGTAGAAAAGAGTTGGTAGGTCTATGTGGTTCTCAGAACCCTATTAGGAATAGCTGAAAGATCTGGCAACATTTGATCCAGAGTGGGCTCTGAATTCAAGAAATACGTATTTCATGGGGCACCTGGGTGGCTCAGTCGTTAAGCGTCTGCCTTCGGCTCAGGTCATGATCCCAGGGTCCTGGGATCGTGCCCCACATCAGGCTCCCTGCTCCATGGAGAGCCTGCTTCTCCCTCTCCCGCTCCCCCTGCTTGTGTTCCCTCTCTCGCTGTGTCTCTGTCAAATAAATAAAATATTTAAAAAAAAAAAATACGTATTTCATAAATGTTTAACTACAATGTGCCCCGCTGTCTTGATACACATTTTTTTATCTGAGGGTCTCCAATAAGAATACAACCCACACCTTAACAAATTGTGACTACTACACACTTTTATTTTAGGACCAAAAAGGAGAGAATTCAGCTGTGGCCATTTACCCAACTCCTCCTGTGTTATTTTTTTAAAGAAGCCTGTCAGTATTTTAAAAATATCAATGGTTCTCTCTCACTTTAACAAGTAACTTTTGGCCAATTTTCTTTGCTAATCTTTACATTTTATCATTTTAAAAGCATAGCTTAAAGGAGGATATAGGTACATTCAAATAACCATAATGTAAAAATACATCTATAAAGAGAAAATAATTTGAGATTTTTTGGACATACTTTTGGGTGCTACTAAATGTAATACAAATACCTTGCCCCCAAAGCATTTACCTCCTCCTAACTCCTAAACTGAGTTAATTTCCCTGGACTGACTTACTGAAAGATTACAAGGGTTTTGAATAGCCAAGAACTGTTAAGGTTGAACATAACTAAGGAATACACACATAGATACTTGAATTAAAAAAAAAAAAAAAGGCACCTGGATGGCTCAGGTCATGATCTCAGGGTCCTGGGATGGAGCCCTGTATCTCCTGCTCAGTGGGGAGTCTGCTTCTCCCTCTGCCCCTCCCTCAACTCACGCTCTCTCAAATAAAAAATGTTAAAAAAGGGGGGGTGGAGGATACTTTTATTGCCATTCCTGGTTTTTTCAGTGGAACAAATTTTAAATGCCAAACACCAGGGGCACCTGGGTGGCTCAGTTGGTTAAGCGACTGCCTTCGGCTCAGGTCATGATCCTGGAGTCCCGGGATCGAGTCCCACATCAGGCTCCCTGCTCAGCAGAGAGTCTGCTTCTCCCTCTGACCCTCCTCCCTCTCATGTTCTCTGTCTCTCATTGTCTCTCTTGCAAATAAATAAAACCTTAAGAAAAAGAAATTAAAAAAAAAAAAAAATGCCAAACACCAGATGAACCAATAAGCCTCATTAATGTAAACAAACCTCTAAAGACAACTAGTCTTGAAAAGAGCAGTAAATATAAAGTAAAACCCAAGGGAGACAAACAGAACTGTAGTATACCCTGAGTGTGGGTGATTTCCATTTTAGGATCTCAAAGTAGAGTGGCAAATTGTAAACCTTGGTTGAAATCTTGAATGACAGTTATTCAAGCTAAGAAGCATAATAAATGTGTAATTTATTTTATCAATGTGGGAAGATCCTTAATTTTAGGCAAATATGTACATGATGAAACTATATTTGTGCTCCCCCAAGTGCAATACCAGTAACTGATTTCCATATATATATACATATATATATATATTTTTTTCTGTCTTTTCCTTTTCAGATAACCACATTTTAATATCAGCTTTGGTGATTGCTAGCACAGTAATTTTGACAGTTTTGGGAGCAATCATTTGGTTCCTGTACAAAAGAAACTTGGATTCTGGTTTCACCACAGTTTTTTCAACTGCACCCCAATCACCTTATAACGACGACTGTGTTTTGGTAGTTGCAGAAGAAAACGAGTATGCTGTTCAATTTGACTAAGATTTTGGAAATCTCAGATTAAGGCGTCAAATACTTTGACAGTGATTCCTGTGCAGGATTTTAATGTAAAACTTGGCAATGAAAATTAGTTTTTATGGTTTATTTCCTTATTCCAGTAACGTTCATTATTCTCATGTAATCGCTGTGACAAAAATTGATCTTTAGGTTCTTATAAGAACTTTTAAAAAATAATCATAATTTAGTAGTTTTAACCACTTCCCTAAATGCACCTTTCACTTGAAACAGTTTAAATAAAGCCCAAAGTAGTAAAGCAGATAAAAATAACCCAGTCTACTGCTCTATCTTCCTTCCCATTTAATTGAACCACCATGGGTTATAGTTGAATTAAAACAAAAACAAAACCAAAACTCTCCCTACCACTGTAGTTTTACAATCACCAGGTCTTTACAGTTTCTAGGTCTTGCTCCTTTATTAATAAACAAGATACGGGAAATAAAAGACTATTAAATAGATCCACATGCTATTTACTATGGCAGATAATTCCTCTAATATTTTTTATCTTCCTTTTTGAGTTAGATGTAGAAAATATTGTAGATTTTAAGGAGCCCATATTCCACGTAATTTTACAATTTCATTACTTTAGAAATCACTTTGGAGCAGAAATAGTATTTAGCATTGATCACAAATGGTTAGAACTTCAACAAAATTTTATAGATTTTTTGAAACAGTAAGATTACAGCTATACCAGGAAGGTGTGGAGGAGGCTGGCAGTGAGGCTAACACTTTTACCATAGAGCCCCTTTAAGGATTTTTCTCCTACCACCAGATCTGTTCCTATCTAAGGTATCTCATGCTCTCCAACTACTGATGAACTAGCCATTCAATGACATGAAAACTATGTAAGCAAAAACTCTAGAAAAACACTACGTACTACTGTAGTGGTGATGCTCAAAGTTTTCAGTGAATGTACATTTTAAGACAAAGGTGAAAATCATTTTGGGGGTAAAAAATGAAAATGAAAGCTCTGAAGCAAGAATGATTTTCCTTATCCTTTACGGCTTAAAAATAAAAGATAAAGAATATGCAGAGTTCACATAAAATTAGATTTACTCTATTTAGAAACTTGGAAGCTCAAAGAAGTCATCTCTCTCCCTAACCCACATGCCATCAGTTATGGGGAATACTTAAGGGAAGATACACTCTCTCTCATGCTTGACCAATGGCAACAAAGCCCCAGCTTGTGCCATCCGTTTACACTGGCACTATGAACAACATCCTTCATCACAACTGATGGCACTATTGTTTACTGACACAGGAAAAACTACGAAGTGATAACAGGACTATGCAGTGTGGCTATGTGGTACTAAATGAGCAGATGTTACACTAGCTGTAGTCCACAAAACAATGACAATCTGTAAGCGCTTTAAACTTCTGAGATCTTGGATACTGTCTATTTTATTATTGATAGGCTGAGTGGTACAAATAGTGAACAGACTGGAATTCCTTCCTTTTTCTATTCAAGTTCTACCAGTCCTTTAAGAACTAGGCATGATCCTAACTCTTCCTTAAAATTTTCTCTAATAGTCAAATTTCTACAATGTCCAATATGGTAGCCACAAGCTACATGTGGTTATTTAAATAAATTAAAATTAAATATAACTTTACATTCAGTTCCCTAGTTGCATGAGGCACACTTCAAATGCTCAAAACACGTGTAGTTAGTAGCTACCATGTTGAGCAAAACAAATTATAGAACATTTCCATTATCACAAAGTTTTATCGGACAATGCTGCTGTAAAATCTCCCCTTCCACTTAACTCCCATACAACTAATTTTCTTCTGTTCATTTTGATAACTTCTACCCAGTGATAGCTCTTCCAAAATGGCTGCTTTAACTTGATTTAATTTTCCACATTTGATTTCATCTTTCAAGTAAGTTCTTAGAGGTCCCTGGTAGTGAAGTAGTAAATCTTAATTTTCTTCATGTATCAGAACATCTGTAACCAGCCCTTGTATCTATTTGGTGGTCAACAGCTAACTGGATCGGTCAAATCTGTATTTATTTTTAACATTAAGAATAACATAAAGTTCTTGTTTACATTCAAAATGTATAAATTTCTTTTTTGAACATCTTGGTTCTAGCTAATAAGGACAATATAAATTCTTAGGTTTGGCAAGTATCTAGAGAGAACAGTATTACAACTTCATTTTCCTAGGAATTTGCATTCTACATATGGTCTCTATTTGTTTAGGGTTTAAAAGTAACAACCAGTGAAAAGACTTTCCTTATTCCCTCTAATTCATACTTACAGGGTATTGGAAGCTTATACAATACTGAAATATGAAACAGTAAGTGGTACTAAGGCACTATGAGAATACTATAAAGCTCAAGCCACTGTGTATCTGTCATTAAGCATTTCATATAACAACACTATAAACTGCACGCCAATGGAATGTTTTCTACTATTTAAATAAAAAGTTTTGTGGGTTAAGCAGAAGATACTTAATTTGCATGCTGAGTTCTATTAAAAGTGTCAATGTTTCAAACTCAAAGCATCCCTAAAGACCTGGACAATAGATACTGAAACTGGCATCCTTAAATTTTGTATTTTTTCTTTAAGGCAATGAATGCAAAGGTAACCTGTGAGTTGAGCAAATGTTTTAGAAAGTTATATATTTTTATATGAAACAGGATTTTATTTAATAAAGTTCTTGGCTCTAATGTTTGAAGTCTACTCTGAGCACCAATTTAAAAGGAAACATTTCAAACTATAAAGTAAATCAATCAGTATGCACTTTATTTCCAGCCAAAGTTTTTACATTAAGACCAACAAACTACGTGTGGGCAAACTGTTGATTCACATTTGAGAAATTACATGGTTTCTACTTAGGTTCTGAAAATGTAGTTCGTTGCTGTAACATAAGACTTTATTTAATCTGAAACCACCTGAAGGTGTTTAAAAGTGTATGCTAAGGCTGTTGACAGAGGAAATATACAGTGTTATGAAAGTATACACAACTCATGACCACAGTGTAGATCTATTCATGGTGAATAGGTAATGTTCATCTGTTCTCCAAAAGTCGTGAAAAATATTAAGTCACTAAATAAATGCTCAGAATTACCAAGGAACAGTTAAAAACGACCAGGATCCAAACAGGTTATTTATATCATATTTATCTATAAAGCAGTGACAACACTAAAAAACACATTGAAAACCAGTGTTTTAAACTTTAAATGTGGGATTAAAAATATTCTGTTAACTTGAGATTGCAATAATTTTTTTCCCAAATAGCATTTGACGGGCAATTCTGATATATTTTACAGCTGTAATATTCCTAAAAGGAATATCTACATACTATGGCCTATCAAATATAATCTGCATTTTGCAAATTAATACAAAACTTTATCCATCATTTATACATTTTATACTTATATATTTTTTAAAAATTAGATTTTATTGCTAAGTGAATTTATAATTCATATTAAATTTGGAAACCTAATATATATGCTTTCATAACTTACTCCCCAGTTGATTTTTTAGAAACACTGGAAGCAAATAATTATGAAAATGAGACTGCAACGTAAGGCATTTTGAAAGGAAAAATAATTAGGTGCCATTTGCCATTTTTATTTCAAAAGCATATTTTGTCCCACTTTTTTCACTAGCAAGAGACTAAAACATGAACCTTTTTTCGTAGATATGACTGCAGTAATCAGAACACAAAAAAGAGTCATCAGCATTGCTTAGATATCTAAAACAAGGGTAACACTTTCCCACTCACCTAAAAGAAAAATACTTTTTGATTACCAGTTTATAAACAGATTCACTGGCCATGTTAAAAGGTCCAGCAGAATTTTAATTCAGCAATACTTGAGAATGAATATATATACTTGTTGTGTGTGTATATATACACACACACACACACATATAGTCAATGTATTCAATAGGCATTCCCCCACAGAATTAATTCATACTTAATTGCCAGTTTTAATAAACACTTGTTCACAGATCATCCATTTGTCTTATATGAAGTTAGGCAATATCAAATGTTCTGTTATGGTCTCCATCTTCTTCGGAATCATCCTCTGAAGCTGTGGAAAGAAAACAGGATGATCAAGAATGATTTTAAGGGGGATGAGAATGGAAGTGTAAACATGAAGCCAGAATAGCAATGACTTGTACAAGTAAAATAAAAATCCCAATTTAGTATACTGTTTGGTCAAAATGCTAAGTTATGACAGGGTTAGGGTGGTTTGACTGTGGGTGATGCGATCCACAATGCTCCCACCCCCAACATCTTCCTGTTAGGTTAGTTTTTATAAATATGAAAATGCTTAAAAATGTGCTTCAAGAAACGTCCTCTAGGAAGCGGAGATCAATCTGTGTTGACAGCAGCTAATGATACAGACACCAGAGAGAAGATGAACTTGAGGCAAGTGCTCTCACACACCTGAGTAGAATCTGGTTTATTACTGCTGCATGTTTGATGCATCCGATGAGAATGAAAAAAAATGTACACAGAAGAGATTATGGGTGTTCTTGCAATTTACATCAAAAGCTATGTCTATACAATGCCAAGAAAAGCTCTATTTAGTCAAAAAAGCTTTATATAGACACAGCCTAAGTTAAAATAATTGGACTCAATAAAAATCTTTTGTTGAGATTACTCTTATGCTTCCACATTGTCAGAAACATCATTTTTGCATATTTCTGACATCAATTTATTATTAAAGTAGCTCAGAAGTTTAAAATACACATCCTAGAATGTCTATAGGAAAGACATAAGTAAAAAACTATGTATTCTATAAACTGTTCTAGGTGTTGAGGAAAATGGAAGTTCACTAAAATAAACACCCAACCAGCATTTCCCCTATTATCAAGGGCAGAAAGGCTAAATGTATACTCTTCTTGTATTAATACTGGACCCAATATTTAAGAGCACCCAACAAATGGAATCAACAAAAAAATTATGCTACGTGTATGGATGAAACTAAGTTTCCACATTTCAGTCTATTTATCTTGCAGAAATCTTAAGTCCATTTTTAATAAATGGTATCAAGCATATACTTAGCTCATGAATGAGTAAATCCTATGGTTAAGTTTTATGCTGTATCATGGAGAAATATCAAACTAAAAAATAAAACAGCTTTTCAGGGAACTTCTCATGTTTTCTATTTGATTAACTCCACCGGAGAAGAAAATTCAGGGTAATATTCTAAGTACTAATCAGGTAAGAATCTAAGTACTCTGGTACTTAGGAGTAAGCTTGCAGCACTCACATCTTTCACTCACAGCTGAGTTTGGGTATATTTTACCTCCATCTTTCTCATATGTTGGGAGTAGACACTGCTATGTTTAGGAAACTAAATTCTAAATGAGAATGTTAGTTTAAAAAACAAAACAAGCAATCTGGGGAAAATATACAGTGAAACAAATTACTATCATCACATCTGGCAAAGTATAAATTATAATTGACCAAAAAAGAGATCTCTGTGTTAGACTACACAAGGGATCCGAACTAAGAAGCTATAAAAGAAAAAATATACCAAATGAATTCCCATTTTATATACTACTTGCTCCTTTATATACCATTCACACATAATGAAATGTGAAAATGCATTATCTGGTTGTACCTCTAATCCTCTCAAAACTTAAAAACAGTACAGACTTAATGACAAAAATCCATGTCTTAGAATATTCAAGGCATTAAAAGGTTCCCATGAAGACCAAGTCCTTCTCAAACTTTACTTCAAAGGACGCTGAGCTTTCCCTAAAGGTAAAAATGTTATTCACACTACAGATAATACTCCAAGTGTTTTGAAGATGTATAGAAGATAATCAAGTGGAGAATACATATTTTAAAACACTTCAAAGAGTGTAATGGAATCTGATCTTGGGGAGCCAGTTGCTTTGGGTGAAAAAGTACAATAGGTAGGGTAATCTTGGATTCCCAGGAACTGTTTCAGAGCCACCAATGTCTGTGCCCACCTGATACGAAGCACCCTGGAGGTTGTAGGACTTTGAGGTTAAGCTGTGCAGATGCCTGTAAAGATTTGGGCATTAAGTGCCTTCACATAGGAGCCCAGGCAGAAGTCCTAATGCTGGAACGTGATCTTAAGAGATTGGAGCTGCTGGCGGAGCTGGCTGCCTATTAAAGGTCCATGAGGACCTGAACAAGGAGCAAAAAAAAAACTATGGCTTCTGTTATAGACTCAGAATTAGGAATCTTTCACCCCTATTTTCCTAGAACTGTAAACAAACCCAGGGAAAACCTTTAACGATCTAACAAAGTTGAATAACAAGTCAAATTTCATAGACACACACACACAAATCTAACAGATTTAGAAGTGTGGTTTGACCAGTAAACGTTTTCTTTTTGATTAAAAGTTTTAAAATTAAGGTGTTCAAAAGTAAAATTTTATTTAAAATAAAATACTTAAAATACATCCTTTTGTACCTTAAAATTAATAGAATTAAAAAAAAAAACATGCTTTAAAAAACCTGTCAGTTGCCCAACCCATCTTCCCAAATCAATTATTTTGTTATTATTAGGCCTATAAATGAAGCTCTAATTTGGCAGAAAGAATATACAGGTAGGTTTTGCTCTGTGGGTTTAATTTGCAAAAGTAAATTTAACAAGTCTGGGAAGGGGAAATTCCACCTACTTTCGAGATCTTCCATATGTGCCTGAAGAGTTCTTGCAAGGTTAATAAACTAGAAACAATGCAGAAAGAAATATAGTAGTTTAAATGTTGCAAATGGATCTAAAAAGAGAATCAGTATAGGAGATTCATTTCTACTTAAAAAAGTCAAACACCATTTTAAGCCTTTAAATAGGGGTCTTTTTACCCCCACATCAAAAATTACAAGCTTAGGATATTATCTTTTAATTGGTATATAATCATTATATAAATGGTCATGCAGAAATCATGAATCATGTAGAAACTGAAAACAGATACAATAAAATAATTTTATCCAATGGCATTCTGTCTTCTTGCATAAATACAACACCTCAAAAATTATGGAGAAAAAAAGTTAAAACCGTTACAATTTGGACACAAATGAATTCACTTTTAGTGGTCAATTAAAAACAAAACAAAACAACAGAATAGGAACAATAATCAATATTTTCCTGCCTAAATTTGATAGCTCCAGAAGTATTTTAATTCAGTAAAGACTTCCACTTTAATATAATTTGTCTGTATCTTTTTACAAAGGCATGAATCCAACAGATCTTATTATATGCATTATATAAGGTTTATTCATTTTGAAAAGATAAGTCACCTTTTAAGAAATAATTTTATGGCATTTACTAAACTTAGGTTCTATGATTTCTTAAGTCCTTAGAAGTCAAGAGATCTTTGCTCAAGTTCTGAATGCTCTTGGTTGCTCATTCTTTTTTCTCTCAATGATAATGTCCAAAAGGCTCACAGGAATAATGTTCACATGATTACAGAAAAATGCTTTTTTAACCAATTAAGAAGCAGTATATGTATTGGTTATTTGATAATTTTCAAAATAAACAGAAACATTACATCCCACCAGAAACTTGGCTCTATTTTTATCATCAGAGTGAACGTTTTAAAAAATAGTTTGAAGTATATCTTTGTGAACACATTACAAGATATGAAGTGTTTGTTCACAATGCTAGAGTAATAAGATGTAGACCCTAGCCCCTGCCACACAAAATGGGCAAGGCAGCAGAGTATAAATTCCCTATAGTACACTGAGGTAAGATTACTTATGAGCACCTAAAAGACAGCTAGCTCAAGTGTTACATTAAGGTAAGAGTGAACAGAGTAAACACACAATGGTCCATATCTTCAGTAGTTTGTAATATGAATGCTTAAAAATTAGCACACTGGTAATCTTTTATGGGACAGTAACAAATGAAATTGAAGTTAATTTCCCATACTCTTTCGGATTTTGGAGTTCAATTTCAATGTCAGGTTTCAAAGTTGTAATAATGAATTGGATTTTCCCTCCCCAATTAAAAAGAGCATTTCCCCTAGGTGTTTTCAATTCCATCCCTGTTTCTCACTGAAATATATTCCAATTACCTTCAAGAGCTAGAAAATTACTTCTCTAAAAATAGCTTTATGACAAAATTAAGCTGTTTGATACAGAAGTAAGGAAGACAGCAATTTCTATTAAATCTACAATATCTTTATTTTTAAGATACACTTTAATATAAGAGCTCCCCAAAGAAAATAGAATGTGAACATATAAAACAATGTGCTTTCCAAAGCAAACACTTGCAGCATCGCACCCTCCCATCACCCCAACTCCAATATTACTTACTCGGACACGTGTGCTTGGTTCATTTGTATTTCCCATCATATCAGAAAAGCTTTGTTCGCACAAGTGCAATAACACAACTAGGTAGAGACCAGAGCTGATAAACTCATACTCAGCCTTCAACAGGGAAGCAAACAAGAGAAAAAGAAAAATATAGAGAATGAAAAATTAGTAGAATGAGATTGATACTCATGGTATACTGATAAACTAGAGGAAATGTATTTATAATCAGTTCCCAGGAAGAGATACAGTGCCATCTATTAAAAAAGAAATAAAAAGCCATCCTTCGTAGTTTCCTAAAATTTTACTAATGCTTTATAATGTGTTCAAATAGGTCCATGAATAACTTCTTTATTCTCATGTAGTCTTCCCTTATGTAATTATTTATATAAAAGTGGGAAAAAATTCATTTGATGGTAGAATGAATGCTCTGGTTCCCTATAAACCTCAAAATAGATTTCTTTACACAAATGGCTATAACTGTTTACTTAAAAATTAGCATTTCATCTACAGCTATATCAATATATTATGTAACTAAAATCCTACTCCGAGAGGTCAAGTGTTTCTTATGTAATTTAACTAATTTAAAGGCAACAGCAGATAGAAAAATAAACTTAAAAAAAAAGGTAGTAAAGTAACTTCCAGATATCATTCCCATAGAAATTTGCAGTGGGCAAAATAGTTCTTTGGTTCAAAGCTGTTCTATTGTTTCAAAGCTAAGAATACAAAACATGAATATAGTGTTATTAAAAATCTAAATTGTTCTGTAATTGTTACACAGTAAACTATCTGTAGATTGCATCTTTTTTTTTTTTTTAAAGATTTTATTTATTTATATGACAGAGAGAGACAGCGAGAACAGGAACACAAGCAGGGGGAGTGGGAGAGGGAGAAGCAGGCTTCCCGCTGAGCAGGGAGCCCGATGTGGGACTCGATCCCAGAACCTTGGGATCATGACCTGAGCCGAAGGCAGACGCTTAACGACTGAGCCACCCAGGCGCCCTGCATCATTTTTGTTAATAACTTATCTGAAGTTAAGAATTGTATGTTCTTAGTACGAACTAGAGCGAGTTACTGATTACAGATTCTTCAGAATACTCAACAAATTTCAAACTGATTAAAAGTTTCTCTAAATATTTCATTAACTGCTTATTTTTAACTTAAAAGGAAATCATGTATCTAGAAAATTTAAAAAAGAGTCTAATGGTTATCACCTTGAAAAAGATGAAGGCACTGGATAATGAAAAAATAAACTGTATTTAAATGAAGGTAGTTGTCAGGCCACTAGAATCCATGATTCACAAAGAACAAAGATGTTAAAGCCAGGAAGCTTAATCAAGGCTGTCATTTACATCCTTGAAGAACAATAAAAACATTCCTAGCTATACTGAAAAGCCAAAAACCACCTTCAAGAGACATGATGGAGCACTTAAGAAAGAATGGCAGGAGAAAACCATCCTTTGAAACCTACTCTAATTTTGAGAAGACAAAAACAAACAAAAAAACCAAGAAGAAAAACCACAAAATTCTTTGCATTATTGCACCCTTCCATACTTCCCCCAACCCCATTCTTTAAAATACCAATGTCTTAAGAATTTAAGACAATTCCTTACTGAAAGTGATATTCCCTTTGGAGTACCTTTTGGAGTATTCTTCATTAAAGAATAAAACAATAATTAACATTAGAGTAGCATCTGTACTACAGCAACTGCCTCATGTTTCATTCATTAGATCAGTGACTCTTAACCTGGATGTAAGCAATTAGCTTCAAGAGATCTGAGAATCTGTAAAATTATGTACAGATTTTGTGTCTATATATATTTTGTAAGGAGTGTTTCTGGTCTTAACCAGATTTTCAAAGGGTATCCATATTCCCACATTTAAAAAGTGAAGAATGTCCACAAAAGATCATATATTGCATGTTTCCATTTATATGAAATATCCAGAATAATCCACAGAGACAGAACACAGACTGGTGGTTGCCAGGGGATGGGCGAAGGGGGAGGGAGCAACTGCTTAATGGGTATAGGATTTTCTTTTAGAAATGAAAATGTTCTGGAACTAGATGGAGGTGATGGCTGCCCAGCACTGCAAATGTACTAGTACCAATAAACTGTTTACCTTGAAATGGTTGTTATATAAACTTCACTTCAATTTAAAAAGGGCGGGGGGGGGGAGGAGGAGATGTCCATTACTCCCTCATTTAAAAAGTGTTTTTCAAGCATTCATGCATTCTCTCACCATCATATCTCTTTTTATCACAAATATGCTAAGCACACATGGACAGTATGGCTCTAGAGTCGACCTTTGTAATCTCTTTCAACATCTCCCCGCCTCCCCTGAATTTTCCTTTATAAAGGGAAAAATACTGAGCTCTAAGCTTCAAGAAAAATGAGTGATCAAATCAATGGGGGTTGGGGGTAGGGAGCAGTGATCAATACATACCAAAAAATCTGAGAAATGAGAGGAAAATATTTGAAATAAAATCTTAATATGATCAGAGAAATCCCGACATTATTCATTATATAAGTAACAGCACGACTGTAGTGATACAATACTGAAGGAAAGAGAAACAATGTGAACTTGGAATAAATGATTTCATAAAAGGTAACTTGTTCAACATAAAGAATGAAGTGGGAATGGGGGGAAATAGGGAGGGTAGAGGGAACCAGACAGGAGGAAGAACAGGGGGCATCAGGTAGGTCGGTAAAAAAATTATTCCTAACATAAAAAATACAGAACTAGGATGCAGATCTGGGGACTGGTGTTTCAATTATTTTCCAGTACTCAGAGGCATTCACAACTAGACAGCTATGGGGAGAGAAGGTTGGCATTACTACTACTCTGGGACTAATTTCCTAAGCTTTTATTATTTTCAGGTTTATTTAGAAAGCATTGAATTTTACCTTAAACTTAAAATCTGTGACTTGGTTATTTGCCTTTCGCTTTAAAAAGTTAGGGGAAAAATAATACAAAATTATAAAATCATATAATACCTAATGTAATAACAGAGAATTAATTATATTAAAAACATTACTATTATTATTTCAATGCAGGTTTTCTGACCATGATTTAATCTTTTCTTCAAGAGTTGTCCTTTAAGCATAGAATAGACACTTACCAAATTAGGCAAAATATACTAACTTGTTCATTTGCATGAGCTCTATGTAGTTCATGAATATCAAAATCCTCCAGGTTAAGCTGCAACTTCTCTTTACAGAGTTCACAGGTGGTTACAGCCTCTAATGAAGAACCTGGTAAAATTAAAAGTAAAGCTTAGTTCTGCTATGTCTCCACAAAACATTTTTCCTTGTAAAGTTATTTTTTTTTAAATATTTTATTTATTTGAGAGAGAGAGCCTGAGCAGAGTGGGGGGTGGGGAAGAGGCAGAGGGAAAAGCAGACTCCCCGATAAGCAGGGAGCCCAATGTGGGGCTTGATCCCAGGACCTGGATATCATGACCGGAGCCAAAGGCAGCCGCTTAATCGACTGAGCAACCTGGGTGCGCCTCCTTGTAAAGTTTTAAGCTTAGACTACAGAAAATCAAAAGGGAGAAAGGAAGTAAGATTGCACTGGTAACACTAATGTGCTTGTCAGGTCCTAATCTATGGAATTTAGGCCCACGCCCATTATTTAGGTATCTGTTGTTTTCTGCCTCCCAGAAATGCACATACATCCCCAACCCTGACAGTGGGAAGCTGACAATGGAATGTCATCTGTACTTCCTACTTCCTCTTCAAGTACCTAGGCAAGATGCCATGAAAACAATTTTAAATAATACAGTATCCCAAACAATGAGTTACCTATACCCAGGCCAGTATCTCTGATATGACAATATAGACCTTTTGTGCTCTAAGAAATGTGTCTTCCTTATAAGGGAGGAGGGGAAAAAAGGAATCCACCTCTGTCTAGATAAAAACAGCTCCTTTCAGCCATAAAAGGAATGAAGTTCTGACACATGCTACAACACGGATGAACCTTGAAAACTTACTAAGTAAAATAAAGCAGATACAAAAAGGACAAATATTATAATATGATTCTATTTATGTGAATTATGTAGAACAGCAAATTCAGAGAGAAAGTGAGTAAGTTACCAGGGACCGGGGAGAGGGGGGAGTGGGAGTTGCTGCTTAATGGATATAGTTTTTGTTTGGGGTGATGATAAAATTTTGCAAGTGGATAGTGGTAATGGTCACACAACATTCTGAATGTACTCAACGCCACTGATTTGTACACTTAATAATGGTCAAAAGGAAAATTTTACATTATATATATTTTATCACAATTAAAAGGAAAAATAAAAGCTCCTTCTATCCCATATGCATTCAGTTATGGGTTACTCCTAAGCTTCTGGCTCTAATAGATAATAGTCTGTCTAATTAAACATATAGCCATTTCCCCACCCCCCATCCACTGTTTTTATTTTTAGAGCTTTAAACTGAAAAAGATGTCCTAAAAGTTTGAGAAGTCATGTGATTAGCTGTGTAGAGGTTTAGATTCAATTCAGCTACCATTTGTTGACTTTGTTATGTGCCAAAATTTAGAAGGGAAAAAGTAGTAACCCCTGTTGTCTTCAAGGAGCTCTTAAAACTCTTAAAACAGTAAAATTTGGTGTAAAGTCCAAGACAGCCATAGTAATTTATATGCATTTTCTTTTGAAAATACCTGAACAGAAAGTGAGTGCTATTGTGAGGCAGTATGTTGTCTCAAAATGTCCTCTAGTCAAACTACGTAAGATAGTCACAGTATTTCAAGGAACAAATAAAACCTAGTTGTTGTTGTTGCTGTTTTAGGAGTCTAACGTACTTAAAGATTTTGAAATTAAAATGCCATCTGGAATATTTTAATTAAAAAAAAAAATCAGTATTTCCACTGAACTAAATTCAGGGTAAGTCCATATTACGACCTGAAGGAGAATATAAAGAATGTGAAAGATATTTAGCAGACATTTCCTAAAACTATCCTCTGATTCAGAAGCAGGAAAAGTATGATTATAAAATATGAACCCTGGATATAGACCATTTAGTACAAATTCTTATACATCTTAGGGATTCATTTTTCCTCTTGTAGGAATTAAGTGACTTATAGAACAACATTCAAAAAGGTCATATACAGCAGGGAAAAGTCCATTTATGCCTACATTGTTTAGTCCAGGGCTCTTTCTATGTATACCCCACGTCATTCAGTAGGCCCTGACTGCATTTGTCTAAACTCGTACGTCTATAGACTTGCTTTTATTCATCTCTGCACACCTGCAGAATTTAACAGTCCATACATGGCAGCTGCTTAATAAATGTTTAAATCAATCTCTACCAGAATGAATCTTCTACCATATGGGTCTTTATGTAAGTATGAGAAAGGCTTGTGGAAATTTATCAGGAATGTTCAGATCTTGAGATCTTTACATTCATTTGACCAAATCTTAGAAAGTACTTATTATACCCTGATAAAACCCATCAAATTGAGTATTTACCACATGCTCAGTACTGTGAGAAACTATTTATAAACATCATCTCATCTGACCTTCACACCAACCCTGTGTGGTAAATATTACTCAGTTTGACTCATAATGGAACTGAGGCCCAATCCCAGAACTACTTAAGAATGTCCGAAACTAGATCTAGGTATATATATTTTTAAAAACTCTAATGGATAATTGTGACCAGCAGCCAGGGTTGAGAACCAATGTTAAAAAAACTTATTCGAGATCTTCCAGTTAAGTGTTAGAGCCATTATCCCAATCTTGTCTTATCTAATTCCAAAATGCCTATGTTCTTAACACACTGTATTATCTGTTTTTCTGCCTACACAACACTAACAATGTAACTGCAAATATTATCAGAAAGTGAATCATGTTGTTTTTCATTTTGGTAATGGCTAACATTCCTGGGCCAAGAACAAATAAATGCTTCCATGCTGAACACTCATTTCATCTTAATAATGCCCCAGGGCACTGACTTAATAAAGACAAGAGGCTGTCATAACACCATATAGCTAAGAAAAGGCTGCTACAGGTGAGATGGGTCTGTCCCACAGCTTTGGGATCAGACTACCTTAAAGCAAAACATAAGCCCCTGACCCCAAGGAGGCCTTGGCTACCTATTTATACAAAAACAAAATTTTCCCAGGAGTCTCATAATCTCCAGCTTGAACAGGTTACCCAACTCTTCCAAAAGATTATTAAAATTAGTATTAATGCCATCATACCTCAAAAATGATTTTCCTATGTCACCATTGTATCAGACCGTCAATCTCATACAAGTGTGTCCATTTACTAATCTGATCCAATTTCCCACCCTTCTCACCCTACTAGTCATTTTCACTATGTCCTCTGGTACTCATGGTCTAAATTTCTCATAATCAGTCTCTTTTTTTGATTAATCTCTTCAACTTCATGCCTAAATCGCAGTGCCCCTCTAGACTGATACATACTTTTTTTTCCCACAACAACCCCTTGTACCTCAGGACCAAGAAGTAGAAATAAATAACCCCTATACCTATTGCTATTTTGAAACTCTAAGTCCATCCTCTTTCATTAATAACTTTAGCACCTGGATTTCCATCTTTATCAACTTCTTGGCTACTTCAATATCCATACACATTTCCTCAACATCCATGCTTCTAAGTATTACCCTTCCCCAGCCCAGCCATTCCCTACAGTCATACCCTTGGCTTTGTCATCATAGTTTTCTGCACTACCCCTAAATCTGTATTTTAGGCATTTTCTCCACTGTACCCACAATTTCTCATCATTTCAAGGTTACCTACTCTGGCAATTCTCTTCAATGCCAATGAGACTCATAGACACTAACCCTACCACTTTCTCACTATCCACTTCCTGATGTCCTTACACTCCCCCTCTTGATTTTAATTTCCATGGCCACCACAGCTATGTCCTTACGAATATCCTTAACTCTCTTCATCATATTTGCCTAGCAAAGATCCCAACCCCAGCAAACTCAAATCCATGTCTATATCCAAACATCTGAAAACTGCTTCTAAAAAAATGTACATCTCACTTTTTAATCATATTCAGAGCCACAGATTTTTATGGACACTGGTACCTCCAGAAAACCCTAAAAATGTCTTCAAGTATTATTTTCCCTACATACCAAATCTCTTAACCTGTCCCCTAATCAGCTAAAGACCTTACCTCTTTCTTTTAAGAAAACAGAAGTAACTGTAATTACACAGGAATTCAAGCAAGCATCCTCTCATCAAAGCAACAAACTGACCATATCCATATCTACACCAGCCTTCTAGATATAATTTTTTTTCCTATTAAAGGCTAAAACTTTTTTCTTTCCATTGTATCTTTTATTAAAATAAAAGATGCCCTAAAATCTCCCACTTCAAACTAAAACAAAAAACACGTCTTATGACCCCATTTTACTCCCCAATTCCTCCCCCTTATCACCAGTCTCCTTAACAATAAAGCTTATTGGAAGAGGGGTCTATGTGGCTGCTTCCTGTCTTACCTTTTCTCTCAATCCCATTAATCATGCTCATGATTCCACCACTCCACAAAAACCGAAGCCACCAAGGACATTCATGCTACCAACTGCCATTTCTTTGTTCATATCTCTTTGTGATACCTGACAGGATTGATCATACCCTCTTCAGAACACCTTCTTCTTTTGGCTTGTACAATACTACATTTTCTTAGTTTTCTTCCTACCAGACTGAGGCTACTCCTCAAATCTCCTCTGCTCCTATTAAATGCTTGGGTGCCCCAGGGCTCTGTCCTGGCATTCCTTTGATACCTGGTTCTTGCTCTTGGGATCTTACTTAATCCCATAGCTTAAAATTATTACTTATGTGCTCTAATTCCCCAAAATTTAACTTTCAGAACTAATGATCTCCTGAAACACCAGGTTTGTCTACTAACTGCCTAGATGACACTTTTAGATGGTTCTCTAATAAGCTGTTTATGTCTAAAACAGAATTATTTCCTGCCCCACACTTATTCCATTCCTACTTTTTAGTTCAGTAAATGGCCCCACCATTTACTTAGTTGCTCAAGGCAAAAATATAAACTTCTCAAATTGTTCTTTCTCCTTCACTACATCCAATCCATTAGCAAGTCATACAGAATCTACCTCCCAAACATACCAGAATCTATCCATTTCTACCACTACCATCACCATCTCTTATAAGATAGATTCCTGGACGGACTCCCTGCCTCTACTCCTATCCCCCTAAAATCCATTCTCCAAAGAGCAACCAAAATAAAATCATTTTACTCCCCTGCCTTTCAGTGGCTTCCCATCACACTTAAGACAAAAATCTAAACTTCAGACATTCGTTTTAAGTCTTAAATGAGATAACCTCGGCTAATCTCTCTTATCTCAACTGTATCACCTGTCTCCTTACCACTCATTATACTCCTGCCACACTGCATTTCCTTCAGTTCCTCAAACACACCTGTCATGTTACCACCTTAAAGTTTTCACACTAGGAGTTTGCTCAGTTGGAATGCTTTTGTCCTCATTTTGGAATAGCTAGCTCCTCTTTGTTCAGTTTAAATGTCCTCACCTCAACAAGGCATTCCTTTAACACCCAATACCACCACCAAAGCAAGTGCCTTGTCTGTCTTGTCCACCATTCTAGATCCCACATTTAGAACTGTGCCTGGCTGCCTAACGGGTACTCAATAAACAATGAATCCCTATAGTAACCTTATTATTACTGCACAACAGCATTAGAAACAAGTATTTCTCAAGGACACACAGCTGGTAAATAGTATTATTTCTTCAATTCAATTCAAAAGGATCTTACATAACATATAAGGATCAACCGTGATAACCAATTATAGTTATCAACATCTATGAAAAAGTAGTTTGTTGGGTTAATGAAACATAAGAGGGGTGCCTGGGTGGCTCAGTCGTTATGCGTCTGTCTGCCTTCGGCTCAGGTCATGATCCCAGTGTCCTGGGATCGAGCCCCACATCGGGCTTCCTGCTCAGCGGGAAGCCTGCTTCTCCCTCTCCCACTCCCCCTGCTTGTGTTCCCTCTCTCGCTGTATCTGTGTCAAATAAATAAATAAAATCTTAAAAAAAAAAAAAAAAAGAAATATAAGAAACACTAGGAGAAATTAAATTTACAAAGACTAATGAATGCTCTTTAGTACTTTTGCTTCAAAAAATAACATACTTTTGATGTGTATAACTTTCACAATAAATTATAATCAGATTTGCTAACTAAAATGCATTTATATGTACATCTCTTGGAAAAACTGTGAAAATAAAATACATAAAAAGGTAAATCTCACCAGAGTTAATTTTGGCCTGTAACCACTTTTTCATACATTCTTGGTGGACATACTGCAAACTTCCCGTGCACTTGCATGGCTCTATCAGCAAGTTAGATGATGATGCAGCTGCCATCTGACAAATTCTACATAAGTCACCTTCTTCTTCTTCAGAGTCCTCTAAAAGGAGGCTAGAAAAGAAGGAAAGTTTTGTAAACAGCTATGATAACTCATCCTGGTTGGTCATTTCCAATCATACCTAATCTCAAACAATGTTTTTGTTATTTCTACTCATGTTCTGAGTAGAAAAAAGCAAAAAACCTTAAAAAACAGCGACCACCATAAAAAAACCAGTTCAATAAGAATGAAAATTACAATATTTTAAAGGTAAATGAAACAGGGTATCTCCTATTATTTTTAAATGCTTTAAGTAATTTTGCCTTTGATATCACACTTCAAGTTCCTTATTTTTCACGATCACTTTACAAACATCCCTAAGAGATTTTAATTTTTACAGTATCACAGACTACTTCAAATTCCAATAGTATAAAGGAATATACGTATATACTTACCACTTTTCTCCTCCACCTCCTAAAAAAACTGTTAGGACAACTTCAATAAATTAAATAATGACCTGTGTTTTTTTCATTTACATGCTATCAGAACCACATATATTTAAACTGATAAGACTTTTTATATTAAATCACAGTAAAAAACAATAGGTTTTTAAATTCTCCATTTCCCCCACCTGTTGCAATGTTATTCAGTCATCCTGATTTTTACAGGGCAGGCTTTTAAGTGTGAAGCCTTTCCATTAATCTATGTTCTCTATTTAATAGGCCAACATGTACTGCTTAATTTAAATGCAAAATGATAGGTGTGTGTGTATGTGTGTATATATACATATATATATATATAATTTTTTTGTTAAAATCACTATTACCTTAGTCTATTGCTGGCATGAAAGAGGTACTCAGTAAATTAAAACAACTGAATGCTTAAACTGCTACTGAAATACAAGTGGATTATACAGGTTCCTAATGAATTTAGCAAAAGATGTGTGGAAAGAGGATTAGATGCACAACGACTAAGTGACTATCATGCTCTGGCTGAACCAGAGATATAACGTCAAGCATAAATATTTATGTTTACCTTCAGATTTAACCTTCTTTGGCTTATAGTTTCAATTATTTTTTATTTGGGGGGTTCAATTTCTTAGATTCTTATTAATTTACCTGCAGAATGTCTTAAAATCTTCATGTATGAGCAAAATACATAATAAAGGAATACACATACAGTCTCTATGACAAAATAACCAACAAATGCTGCTTTATAAACTATCTAACCAGACAGGGTGGTGCTGGCTTAATTTGTTTCTCTCTGGAAATTACTAAACTAATGCTTTGCTCTATTTATACCACTGCACTCAACCTAACTTTGAACACAAGAAATATAATAGTTACTAAATTCCTCAGCAGACAGCTTGTAATCAGAGGGAGTTGCGATAATGACATTAAAGCTAACACTACCAGGGCAGTGAATCTTTCTCCAAGGAAAAACAACAAACTTTAAGTGTAGGAAAATAGTCCCATGGTACAATTTGTCCTACATAAGGAAAAAAGGGAATGTTGTGGCCTAACATCCAACATCTCAGTTCCCTGTCCCCAGAGGTAGATTTGAAAGTATTTCTTCTTCTTAAAAAAAAAAAAAAAACTAAAACGACAGTAACAACTATGCTTCCCAACAATTCCATTACAATAGGGCTTTACGAACAAGAAAAAAACAAAAACACAAAACACCCCACAGCCTTCACTTTACCTAAGTCTTTTCTTCCTACAAGTATATTTTACATGTACTATCCTAACCTGTTTTATCGGGAAAATTATTTTTTATAAAAATTATCTTAATAATCGGAAAAACTAAGTACACTAACATGACAAAATAATCAAGTTGGGACTAAAATCTCTGATTTTTCATCTTTTCCCTCTTACCAGAGATTTTTAAGCAATCTTCAACTCTACAAAGATACATTTACATAAAAAGATTCTAAGTCCTGAATTTAAACTAGTATTTCTATCAAATATTCACAATATACAAAGAATATTAGGTATATACCTGGACTTCAAAAACAAAATAATTTGTGTAAATGATTTTACCTCATTCCAAAAAAGAGTCTGAGATAAGAAATACAAATAAATGGTAAATAAATCTTATTAAACGCTAAGACAGATTGTTTTGATAACCCATAACCACTGGAGCCCCTTTACCAATCCCATTTAGCAATGGTCTACCAAGGAACAGGTAAGAGATTACGATTTTTGTCTTTTTGTGCATCTGTATCAAAAGCTGGTTAAAAATAATCTTAGATTATTTCTTGATGCAATCTATACTCCCAGTGCCTACCTTATTAATTCTCATCCATTTCCTTTGAGAATCTAACATTTTAGTGGATATAAATTTTAAGGAAAAGAAATCTCAGATACCAATGTTATGCGAAACCATTTATAGAAAAGGACTTCTTCCTCTGATCTGCTCTTCGCTTTACGAACTTAAGACAGGTATTCAAATTTACCTCTCTTTTATTTTCTGCAGTCTTTCTGGGTCTCTTGAAGGTGCACTTTTAGTTTTATCACTTTTTCCATCAGATGAACTCCAACCTGAAGGAATAATATCTACAGTAATCATGACATTGTCGGTCAAATTATTTCCAAGTGCTGGGGGGACTGCAAATCGAAATAAGGAACCAGGAAGGACCCCTGTTATTCCTGTATTTCTTCCACTGTGGGCTGAATCTGATGTGGAGCCACCTGTAGCAGCATTACTCGAAGCTGCAGATGCTTGTGATCTGTTGGCAGTAGCCCCAAGGGGGTCACTCTGTGCTTCAAGGTGAACCACTTCATTTGATTCTCTTCTAAAAATATGATGAGATCTAGGTGGTATATCAGAGGTAGGTATCCTTGAAGATTCATCTCGTCCCTCTCGTCTCCTTCTAGAAAACAAAGGTGTGCATCTATTTCTAAGTGAGGAAGATAACCATGGTCCTGTATTTCTACCTTCAGGTTCTTGGTTAAAATTTTCTGAATCTGGCTCAGAGCTATGATTTTGGCTAAGAGAGGACAAACCCCATCTTCGCCTAAGAAATCGAAATCCCTGAGAAGTTTCAGATGCCCTATTATCGGGAACATCAGAGGTTGATGCTGCATTGCTACGAGACTGTGAAGCTGTCAAGATTCTTGGAGACACGTAAGAATTTTCAGAACTCAATGATCTTGTATTCAAGGAATCCTGGCTAGATCTTCGTGAAAAAAAGGTAGATGACATACTAGAAGCTATACGCGACAGCAATCTCCTGGTCGAACGTCTACCTTCGTTGTCAGAAGATTCTTGAAATGATCTTTGAGATGAACCAACCCTATCTGAACTGCTTGAGGTTTCATCTCTATTTGAAATATAAGAAAATCCAGGTTGTGTACTGCTTTGGGGAGATTCCAATTCTCTTGGAGAAGAATTTGATCTTAGAGAATTTCTACTAGAGTCCCTAGAACATGGTATGGTCTGATGTTCAGAAGGCATCTGGTGGTTTGTGGATGATGTATTCAACTGTAAAGTGCTCACTGAGTTATCTTTTGGTCTTGCTCCCTGTGAATATGAAGAAGGAACTCTGTCTTGAACATCTATTTTTGAAAGAAAAGAAAGATACCAATTACGTGAAATAAAATTTGAGTATTATTAAATTTGCATTTATTAACTAATTACTGTAAACTGAAATACTGGATTCAAACCAAATACTGCTATATTATAAATATACAGCTTACCTCTTATTATAGGGAAAAAAAATAAATATATTTCTCTTTCTATACCTTTGATAAAATCCAGTACATTGTAAACTGAAAAGAAAGAAATGTGTCACAGCTTATGAAATAAACATCTAAATCTACTAACTTGTTGAAGGTATAACAGTCTGAATTTGTTAATCAGAAATTGATATGATAATATCCAAATGGACAAGGATTTTAAATGGGCCAAATAATTCACTGTAAATGACTCTCACAACAAATAAAGACAAAATAATCCTCGGGAGACAGTGTTTTGGAGATTCTTCTTACTCTGTAATAAGCATAAAACTTATTTCACACAAATATTATCATCCTTATAATTTTATGACAAACCTTGTTACCAGCTAAAACTTTCTCCAATCTTTTTTCTTTCAAATTAAGAGCAGTGGATGTTATCTCTGGTTACTCATCAGACATACCTCTACTTGCTCGGTGCTGGGTCAGAATAGCGCCCTGGTAGCTGCAATTTTGAAAAGTATACTACTGGTGGTTCAAATCTTGAAATGGGATGAGAAATATTTTTGCCTTCCTTTATAAGGAATACTCATCCATACACCTACTTAAGAGTAAGATTGCTACTGCACTAACGCAGGGAACCTCGTGAAGGGATAAACTCTTAGTGGTTAAATCTTTTCTATCCTATACTTGCAGACCTCCAAGCATAGATGGTATTGATACTATATACTACAGCTCCTCCATCTGAAGCCAAGCAAATAAAAAGATGTTTTCACTGTCTTAAGCAAAGGCTTGCCCCAATAAGCTCATTTAAAATAACCTACACCTTTAAGAACAAATGTATTTTCTTCTATGTAAATCAAACTCCACTTTTGCCTGCTAGATCTGCCAATTTCAAAAAGCACTTTCTGTTTTTCAGTATTTCTGTTTCATAGTATTTAATTTTGAAAACCTTAAGCTTAATGTACACTGACAGAAACAGTGTGGATCTTTATTGCAACTGAATGAAAATAAAGGTACATTCACGTTAAACAAAAGTAATTCTAAATTATGCCAACATGTTGATTTCAAGCTTTAGTTAGGTCAGAATTTTTTTCAGTAAATACAGTAGGTATTATATATGTATTGTCTCTTATGATTTTAATAACATTTTCTTTTTTATAGCTTACTTTATTGCAAGACTACATTACATAATACATATAACATAAAAAGTATGTGTCAACTGTTTATGTTTTTGGTAAGGCTTCCAGTCAGCAGTACGGTTTGAGTACTAAAGTTTTGGGGGATTCAAAAGTTATACATAGATGTTTCAAGTGCCAGTACTGGAGGATGGGGGGAGATAGGTGTCGGTTCCCTCACCCCTGCATTGTTCAAGGGTAATGTATAAGGCAAATGATATTGGGGTATACAAAAATTATGTAGTATAATTTAGAACATAAGCATTCTTAAAAGGAAAAGCGTAAGAAAATTACAGGCAGATGGAACCTAGATATTAATGTACATCTATTTCAAACTTTTTATTTTTAAAAACATAATAAGGTACTAGAATACATATTAAGCTATTTTGAAATCTTCACAAGATGCACTTCATGTATTCATTTGTACTGTGATTTTAATGATATAGAGAAAGAAAGAAATAAAACATTATTAGATAAGTTACACATAACAATACAACTTATACTTACATGATGAAGTTGTGAAATCACCACTTCGGTGACTATAATCCATAAGATTACTAATGGAAGAATCTGCTCTTCTCTCTAAATCTCTTCTCTCTCTCATTAAGTCAGTTCCAAATGATCCAAGTACCATTGATGAAGATCTGGGAACTTGATTATGTCTCCATGAAGAATCTTAAAATAATTGAAGACATTTTAATTCAGAGAAAGCTTTCGAGGTTTCTGATGACCAATCTTCAGTATTACACAGGGAGGTTATTGTGATTTATTATAGGAATCTTCAAGGTTACACAGTTGCAATCAGAAGCAAAATTCAGCAAAATATAAAATTATTCTTAATGAACTCATCACTTATAAAATTATTTCCTACTCAGAAACACATTCTTCTCTAACACTAAAACCTACCACCCATCTATGATGCCAATGTCTCAGTCACTTTCTAGAACATCTGACCATACAGTGTAAACATAATGTAAAATAACTACAGAACAAAAATGCAAATCAGAATTTTAAAAAATACCATTTATTAGTGATATATGACTGTATTTCTGAGAATGGGCATTAGATGCAGAATTTCCTGAAAAGTCAATGAAAGTGATGTTGGAGAGAACAGCCAAAATCAAAATCAAGCCATCTCAAAATGGAAAATGTTTTACTACAGATACTGACAATATTTTATCAGAAATATTATCATTGACATCGCACTTGGTTCACTCTTATTCTAAGAATTAAAGTATTGTTGCAATCGTAATCTTTTTAAATGAAATCATACCTAACAAAATACATTAAAGGTAAGTCTCACAACCTTGCCCCTATTTACCTTGAAAATTTTGGTTCTTCCTTTCCTAGTCCCAATAGCCTTATTGATTCCTCCTCATTAAGGGAAATGGCCCAGGGTATTTAATGCTATGCCTTCACAGAGTAGAAGAGACCAAAAATATCTGGTGTTTCTCTACAGTGTTAAGCACAGTCTGCTCTTACCCATCACACTACTCTTAATATTCTTCAGATGGGCACTGTCTTTCCCAAGGAGGTCCTGTCTATCAAAATAGAAAGGAATCGCTTACACTACTTCAACTGATAATACATAAGCATTTCAAGAATTTTATCTTCCAACTGTGTCATCACAAATTCTGTCTCATCTTAAAACTATTTCAGGCATTCCCTGATGTTTCATTTGAAGAGGAGTGTAAGTGTGAGGAGGGAACCTCTTGCCCTCTCAAGAAAAAGAAAGAGCTTTTCAATTTGTGCAACAAATGTGTGTCTGTGAGTACAAAATACCATGTATGGAGCTTTATGGATAAGTCACCTAAATCCCAGAATGGTTAAGTGACTTGTCCAATGCCATATAGCTAGTTAGACGGCTAAAATCCCCACATTCAGATTCCTTATATAGAACTCCTACAAAAACACCAACTATTTTTGTTTAAAGAATTTCTGTTTTTGAAAAATAAGCATAGACCACAACATTTACAAAAGATATGCTTAGGATAGGAAATACTAATACGTATCAGTAAATTTGCCTTTCTAGTGTAACAATTACAAAACTGACTTCTTATATAATAACCGGCAAAATACATGTCACTTTTACCAATTTGATTACCATGCGTATCAGCTATTCTAATTAATCAAAATATGCTAATCCTGTTTGTGTCGGATATTTGTATCAAATTTAGAATAAAAATCCAAAACTAAGAGTTTATTTCAGTTGTAGCACTAACTTAAGGTAAGATTTGAGAAACTCCACTACATTTGACCCACTATCTTACATGCATTCTACTTGCTTAATACCACTAGGTCTTGGAAAAAGGGCTTTAGTCCAAAATGCATAGATAGTGACTCTTACACAGATTTAACTCTTACCTGATACTGCATTTAAACCATGTCCAGTATTTCTCCCGACTGAGGTAGATGTACAGTTTGTGCAGGAAAGTTTAGGTCTTTTTGAATCATGATCCCGTTGCTGGTTTTGTGATCTTGATCGTGCTCCCTGAGTTATCTCAGATTCACTATACCATGGAGACTGAAATGGTGATGCAGATGCTGATGCTGATGGAGACTGTAAGTTTAAAAAAAAAAAAAAAGTGTTCTGATGGAACAACAGAATGCTGCTTGCATTCAGTCTATGAAATTTAATCCCCAATTTCATTCATTCCTCGTAAGCACAAATTGTTCTACCATGAAGGTTTTTCATAGTCTTTGTTCCTTTCTACCCACGTGTCTCTTTACTTTATACTGTAATTGTACTTTGCTGGGTAATCAATCAGATTTAGATTAAATCTTCCATGTAACTGTATATAATCACTTGGTTAGAAAAAAGTGAAGAACAAAAATCTTAAAATCATTTGTTTTCTTGGTTTAATATTTCAAACTCCTGAGGAACTGGTTTCCTATCCCTAAAGGACCAAGAAAAACACTAATATATAAACTTATTATGAAAACTACTATAAAAACAGTTTTTTTTTTTAAGATTCTATTTATTTGTCAGAGAGGGAGAGAGAGAGAGAAAGAGACTGAGCAAACTGGGGGCACGGCAAGCAGAGGGAGAAGCAGACTCCCCGCTGAGCAAGGAGCCCAATGTGGGACTCAATTCTAGGACCCTGGGATCACGACCTGAGCCTAAGGCAGATGCTTAACCGTCTGAGCCACCCAGGCTTCCCCCCAAAAAAGGTTTTTCAAATAATAAAAAAATCATCCTGCATCTAATGCCCATTCTCAGAAATACAGTCATATATCACTAATAAATGGTATTTTTTAAAATTCTGATTTGAAAGTTTTTCATCAGTGAAGCAAGAAACAGATAAATGAGTACATATTAAACACAGTACATATTAAAACTCTTAACTCAAGGTTTTCTCCTTTAATACGTTAAGTATACACAAACAATCCATAACATAAAAATCACTCAGAACGTACAAACTATTTTACTTCCCCCTAATTCTTTAATTGGTTAAGCAATTTAGTCAATATAAGGCATAAAAAGGATAAGGATTAGTTTGTTCCCTTAAAAATGTAGGTTTAAATAATAAGAACATAATATTTCAACCATAATTGTTCAAAGTATCTTTTTCTTTAATGCTTCAATTACAAGAAGCATACTGCAAGCTTTCAGGGAACTATATTAGTTCATGGTAACTCTACAGAATAAACCTTGCACACAAAGAAAAGCAGTCAAGATGCAAAGCTGAATAAGGAGGAGTGGGCCAGATCAGGATTTCATTCATCCCTTGAACAGAGAATATTTTGCCCAGTGAATGTGGCTTCAGCTTAGTACAAACTTGGTCGCACAAGCCTTCCGCACCAAGTCCTCCACAGAGCCTCAATCAATCAACTGGAGTAGCATTAGAGATAAAATTCATTAGATATTTCAAAACCAAACCATCTTATGTGCCATAATTAGGGTATTAGGGACCATGTGCTATAAGCCAGTGATTCTAAGACCTCTGAATTTCAGAAACTAAAATAAAAATGTTTCAATGTAAAATTTAGAAAGAATTGCCGCTTTTGACAAGTAAATGAAAATTAGCAAATACCATCTAATCCCACCCCCCGTTTTTAAAAGGGGCATTTTAGGGGCGCCTGGGTGGCTCAGTCCTTAAGCGTCTGCCTTCAGCTCAGGTCACGATCCCAGGGTCCTGGGATCGAGCCCCACATCGGGCTCCCTGCTCCGTGGGAAGCCTGCTTCTCCCTCTCCCACTCCCCCTGCTTGTGTTCCCTCTCCCGCTGTGTCTCTCTCTGTCAAATAAATAAATAAAATCTTTAAAAAATAAAAATAAAGGGCATTTTATATGCTCCCAAAACATGATGGATTTAACAGAATAAAACAGACAAAGTGAATAAACTTCATTTGCACAAAATCTTTTCCTTATTTTTCTTGTTTTGCATGGACCAGACAAACTGTTACTGAATAGCACTTGTGTAAATATGACTTTGGGAATTACTGAATGAGGAAATACCATCAGATCAACTACTTCTTAGAAAGATACTTAGAGCATTGCGGAAGATAAAAAAAATGGAATAGAAAGTAGGAAGCTCAACTATAAAGTCATTGAAATGGCAGGAAATAAGTCCTTGTGACAAAATGAGAACAGAGAGTAATTGTAAGACATAAAAACTAATCAAATTTAGAGACACAGTGAGAAATGAACAAAAAGTCTAAAATCAATCCAGTTTTCAGGCATTGGCTATTGATGGGAAAAGATGCACTCACTGTTCAGGAAACAATTTTCATGACTCAACTCTAAAATGCAGCCCATATGTCATCCCAGAAACAAAATGCTTGTTAATATAATATATGGAAAGGAAAAATAAAGGTTCTGACCAGTATTTCTGCTGGCTTAAGTTCAAAATCAAAATCAAAACCTTTTTTAGCTCCTACCAATTTGGTTCACTGTTCAATTATCTTTGGTCTCAATCATTTACTTTTTACCATTTCTAAATTATTTTAACAATTAAATAAACTAAGTCTTTGTTTTTTGGGTTTTTTTAGGGAAAGAAAGATTTCAGTCCTACCTCACTCCCCAACCTCCAGAGAAGAGAAAGGGGGGGGCTGAAGGTTTAAACAGCCAATGGCCAATGACTTAATCAATATGACTATATAATGAAGCCTCCATAAAAACCCAAAAGGACACCTGGGTGGCTCAGTCAGTTGAGCATCTGACTTTTTGTTTCAGCTCAGATCATGATCTCATGGGTCATACAGTAAAAAATTATTATCTACTATGCTACCGCACAGTTAACAAATTGTCTTCCTTTGTGACTGAGAACTTTTAAGATCTTCTCTCTCACCAACTTTCAAATATACAGCATGGCATTATTAACTATAATCACCATACTGCCCATTAAATCCTCAGCACTATTTTAAAACTGGAAATTTATACCTTTTGACCACCTTCATCCATTTTGCCCAACCCTACCCCCTGTAGTCTCGTAACCACCATTTTGTTCTCTGTATCTATAAATTCAGACATTTATTTGGTGGTGGGGGTAGGAAGAAACTCTCAAACAAGTTCCACGCTCAGCACAGAGCCAGACACAGGGCTTGATCTCAGGACCCCGAGTCGTGACCTGAGCCAAAATCAAGAGTTGGACGCTTAACCAACAGAGCCACCCAGGCATCCCCAGAGTTTTCTTTAGAGTCCACATATAAGTGAGATCATTAGGGATTTGTTTTTGCCTGATGGATTTCATCTGGCATAATGCTGTCACAAATGGTAGGATATCTGTCATTTTTATGCTGAACTGTATTCCATTGTATATATATATATACACACATTTTCTTTACCCATTTATCAATGGCCACTTAGGTTGTTTCCAAGTCTTGGCTCTTGTAAATAATGCTGCAATGAACATGCAATTGTAGATATCTTTCTGAATTAGTGTCTTTCCTTCCTTCAGAGAGATAATACAGAAGTGGAAATGTTCGATCATATGGTAATTGTATTTTTAATCTTCTGAGGAACCTTCCTACTCTTTGTCATAGTGACTGACTGCACCAATTTATGTTTCCACGAACAGCGCAGGAGGGTTCTTTTTTCTCCATACCCTAGCCAACACTTGCTATTTCTTTTTGATAGCTATTCTAACAGGTGTGAGGTGATGCTATTGTCTTCCCTTAGTGATGCTGAACACCTGTTCATGTACCTACTGGCCATTAATGTCGTCTTTGGAAAGATGTCCATTCAGATTCTCTGCCCATTTTTAAAAATAATTATTTTTTAAAGATTTTATTTATTTTGGGGGGGGTGGAGGGGCAGAGATGTGAGATTCTCCAGCGGACTCCCCGCTGAGCGTGGAGCCCAACATGGGGCTCAATCTCACGACCCTGAGATCATGACCTGAGTCGAAATCAAGAGTCAGATGCTTAACCAACTGAGCCACCCAAGTGCCAACCCCTGCCCATTTTTAATCAGATTTTTTTTTTTTTTTGCTACATAGCTGTATGACTGTCTCTTTATGTGTTAGAGATTAACCCCTTACCAGTGAAAATATGATTTGCACATATTTTCTCCTGTTCGGTAGGTTGCCTTACCATTTTGTTTTGATGATTTCTTTGCTATGCAGAAGCTTTTTAGTTTGATGCTGTCCCATTTGTTTACTATCGTTTTGGCTGCCTTTGCTTTTGGTGTGAAATCCGAAAAATTACCACCAAGACCCCTGTTCAAGGATCTTACCACCTCAATCTTCTAGGAGTTTTATGGTTTCAGGTCTTAGGTTCAAATCTTTAATCCACTGAGTTGATTTTGTGTATTGTATAAGATAGTGGCCCAGTTTCATTCTTTTACATACGGCTTTCCAGTTTTCCCAACACCATTTACTGAAGAGACTCTCCGTTCCACACTGTATTTTCTTGGCTCCACTGTGGTCAATTAATTGACCAAATATGTGTAGGTTTATTTCTGGGCTCTTTATTGCATTCCATTGATCTACTTATTTGCTTTTATGCCAATATCATACTGTTTTGATTACTATTAGTGTTATAATATAGTTTGAAATCAGGAAGCATGATGCTTCCAGCTTTGTTCTTTCTCAAGATTGCTTTAGCTATTAGGGCCTTTCAAGAGTCCCAATTTTAGGATTGTTATATTTCTGTGAAAAATGCCACTGGAATTTTGGTAGAAATTGCACCAAATCTGCAGATTGTTTTGGGTAGTATGAACATTTTAACAACATTAATTCTTCCAATCCAAGGGCACGAAATAGCTTTCCATTTATTGGTGTCTTCTTCAACTTCTTTCATTATCAATGTCTCATAGTTTTAAGTATACAACATTCACTTCCTTGGTTAAATTAATTCCCCACAGGTATTTTACTTTTTGATGCAGTTGCAAATAGGATTGTTCTCTTAATTTCTAATAGTGTGTAATAGAAATGCAACTGATTTTTGTATACTGACTCTGTACACCATAATTCTACTGGATTTATTCAGTTCTAACAATTTTCTAGTGGAGTCTTTAGGGTTTCTATAAATATTATCATGTTATCTGGAGAAGAGAGGCAGTTTCACATCTTCTCTTCTCATTTGAAAGCCTTTTATCTCTTGCCTAAATACACTGGCTA